AATAATAATAATGATAACAATTGGAATGTTGAATCAATATGTAACAATGACAATGGTTGTATGACTATCTGATAATGCTGATAATAATGTTGATAAAAATGAAATGAGAAAAAAAGGTATGAAGTGGGAAATTGAATAAAATTTAAAAAAAAAAACTGAATAAAATGAGGTGCTCTAGTAATAACAGGATCGGGATCTTCTTTTTTTTTTTCAAGGGCGTTAAGAATTTAGACGCCATATGACTGATGAATCTATGGGGAATTTTAAATTTGGAATGAAACCAGTAGGAAAATTTTATGAGAAAAGAAAGAGAAAAAAATGCAAAAAAAAGGAAAGAAAATTTGAAACTCAAAAAAAAGCTATCCTTTTTCCCTAAAGGAAAAAAGAATTTTTTTCTGCGAAAATTTCGTTATGCAAAAAAAGATTGGAAACTTTAAAAAATTAAAAAAGAAAAAAGAAGAAACGAGAAAAAAAATGTATCGATTTATATCATTTTTATCTTAATCTTTTCTTTTCAAATATAATTCAAAAATATTATCATTGAAGTTTATGGAAGATTTAATTGGAGGAACATTTTATAAATTAATTAACAATGGTTTGAAATCTTTGACCTTCGTACAATTGGAACAAATTCTCATATTTGATTTTCGTGTTTTCGTTTTTTTTTTTTTTAATTCGAAACTTTTTGAATTTTGTTTAAATTAAAAATTCTTTTTGCACTAATTATAATTAATTGTAAAATTGCTGACATTTTCAAAAAATTAAACGCAAAAAAAATAAGACGAAGAAAATAAGAACAAAAATTTTAGTAAAATTAGATTATTTTACAATTTTTGATTTTAAGATGAAAATTTCAAATTTTTTAAATTAATTGAAACTTTTTCAAATCATATTAATTAATGCTAATAATGATGATTATATCCATACGTATGCATAGATTATCGATTTCATATATTATCTTGTTCTTCTGAATTTCTAAAATAAACATTTTTCAGTTAAAAACGTTATTAACTTCTTTAAAAAAAAAAAAAACTTTAAAAACTTAAAAGCGATACTAACTTTTTTAAAAGAAAAACTTTAAAAACTTTAAAACCATATTAACTTTTTTCCATACTTTTCTGGAAAAAAACGAAAACCTAATTTTTAATAATTTATAAATATCAGAAATGTAAATTTCCATTATTCATTTTTGAAACTCATTTTTTATTAATAATAAGAAAAACATTTGTAATTCGGATTTGAAAAGGAAAATTCAAATTTCATACTACCGCAAATTTTATCCTTTTTGTGGCAAATGTAAAAGAAAATTTTTCTTTGCCCAAAAAAAATAAAAAATTGAAAAATTCAAAAATAATGCACCAAAATTTCAAAAATTTATATTTAATCCAAAGAAAAGAAAAAGAAAAGGAAGAAATCACTTTGTTTAACTTTGAGTTAAAAGTTGAAATTTAAAAATTTTCTTTTTCTTTATTTAAAAATTATCGTAAAATTTTTGAATTCATTCGCAAAACTGCTGTTTTTTTTTGGTCAACTTGTAAAAAATGGGCATTATACTGAAGCTAAAAGGAAATTATTCCAATTTAATAGCACTTTCAAATTTTTTATGAAATTTTATGAGAGCAGACAGCAAGGATGACAGGAGGTGGAGTGACAAGGTGTAGAATGATAAGTGGATTGAATGTGATAAATGAGGTGACAAGATGTGATAGGTAAAGTGAAAAATTCAAAATATTTTATTGTCAATAAAATTAAAAAAAAAAAAGAAAAAAGGAAAAAGTCATATTATAATAAAATGTGATAACAAAACCAATTTTAAATTTGATAGATGAAAATTGTTTTTTTGAATGGGCGAGATTAAAAGAAAAGATTTTTTAAGTTTATTTTTTTTTGAATTTTAAAAGGTAAGCGATAGGATGAGAAAGAGTGAAGGAAAATGAAAGAAAGAAAAGATAGAAAAAAGTAAGTTCATGAAAAAGTTGCAAAAAAAAAAATGATTTTTTTTTAACTAGAAAAAAGAGATGAATTTCTTGGTTGCATTTATTTATTTTCTTTTGTAAATTATAGGAATTTAATGGACATATGTAAATGATTAATTTTATAGTTTATAAAATGAATAATTAATAAATTGTAAATTGCAATTGCAAATTTAATTCAACTTTGTTTTTTTTTTTCATATTTTAAAATGTGAGTGACACACACATACACAGACACAGACACACACATACACAGACTCACGCACAGACACACACACACACACACACATAACACAGACTCACGCACAGACACTACACAC